CATGATTTGTACTCATTGAGCTGCTGTATATTACTCAAATAATTTTTGTGCCATAAGGTTAGCGTGTTCAAATAAAAATCGAAAGTTGATTTTTTAGCGTCACGTTGACCCATCAATGACTGTACCAGTAGACCCTTCCTCGAGTTCTTGATTTACGTCAAGAAGGCTTCGATGGAGGCTGGAGGTTCGAATCCTCCCCGTCTGTTCATTTGGTCTCTGACGAAATATGTTTTTCTTTTTCGTAGCCTTGGCTCATGTCATCTCGAGTGTCCGGCTAGACATGTATCGCTCCTTGCCACTTGCCGGAGATTGGGCAGCACAACTTGAATTTGAAGTTTGAGGTCTCGAAATAAACTCAAGAGCCAAGATTGACATACACATCTCGCCTTCACACTTTCAAAAACACACACAAGGGATAGAGAATTCAAGAGTGGGGATTAGACATTTCAACAGCATCGACATCTAACAACCAAAGAGATTATAACGAATTTCGAATATGCGACGAATAGCAAGGAGTATGCATGAATGGGTGCAGGTACTTTTGGAAAGCAAACGGAATGGCCAGATCAAAAGTCACGAATGAGGTCACCTTCGCTCACTTAGAACCCGCCCATTCCACCCATACCTCCCATGCCCCCCATACCACCCATTCCACCAGCTTTCGCCGCACCCTCCTCTTCCGGCGCATCCACCACACAACATTCCGACGTCGTCAACAACGACGCCACACCCGACGCATCCACCAACGCGGTTCGGACAACCTTGAGCGGGTCGACGATACCCGCCTTGACCATATCCACATATTCACCCTTGGCAGCATCATACCCCCACGTAAACTTGTCTTCGCTTCCATATTTCTCGAGGATGGTGCCCACAACCACACTGCTCTCCTCTCCCGCATTCTTCAGGATCGTCCTTGCGGGGTTGGTCAATGCCCTTCGGATGATCGCCACACCTACGTTCACGCGTTAGAAAGAACAAAGGAATAGAGAGAGAGAGAGAGACGTACCGAGTTCCTGATCAAAGTTGGCGGTGGGGATAGGCTTGACGCCAGACGAGACAGGTGAAGAGGATGTTCCGGCTCCACCTGCGGAAGGGGAAGAGGTGGCGAGTTGGAGAGAGGCTTTGAGGAGGGCGACGCCGCCTCCGGGGAGGATGCCTTCTTCGACGGCTGCGCGGGTTGCGTTGAGTGCGTCGTCGTAGCTGTAGGTATCATTCATCAGTCAGTTCCATGTGCATGGAAGGGGTGGGGGAGGGCAAAGGAGAAAGAAAAAGACATACCGATCCTTCTTCTCACCAACTTCGACTTCGCTGGCACCTCCGACCTTGATGACAGCGACACCTCCTGAAAGCTTGGCGAGACGTTCCTGGAGCTTGGACTTGTCATAGTCGGAAGTGGTGGCGTCGTTCAAGACGGAGCGGATTTGTTCGCAGCGGGCTGCGATGGCGTCTTTCGAGCCTGTAGAAAGATACCGTCAGTCGATGTGAAGAAGGGTAGGAAAGGGAGAAGCGTACCCTCGCCGTTGAGAACGATCGTGTCGTCCTTGGTGATAGTCACAGACCCAGTCGAGCCGAGCATGTCAACAGTGGCACGCTCGAGCTTGACCTCGAGTTCGTCAGTGAAGACGGTTCCACCACTGTACCTCCATCAGCACACATTCACCACAAGAAAAGAAAACACATACGTGAGGATAGCAAGATCCCCAAGGATACTCTTGCGGTTATCTCCAAACCCAGGCGCCTTGACACACGCCACCTGCAACTGACCCCTCAGCTTGTTCAAAATACACGCCGCCAGAGCCTCCCCATCAATATCCTCCGCAATAATCAACAACGGCCTCCTCGCCTGCGCCGCCGCCTCCAAACTCGGCAAGATATCCTGCAACAACGAAATCTTCTTTTCGCTCAACAGAATAAACGGTTTCTCAAACTCGACTTTTTGCGTCTTGACGTCCGTGATGAAATAAGGCGAGATGAAACCTCGATCAAACCTCATACCCTCTGTAATCTCAATCTCATCCTCGATCGTCCTGCCTTCCTTGACAGTGATGACACCTTCCTTGCCGACTTTTTCCATGGCCTGGGCAATGAGGTTCCCGACGTGGGTGTCGCCGTTGGCCGAGATCGTAGCGACTTGGGCGATTTCGGCGGTGGTGGTGACGGTGCGTGCGTGGGAGGAGAGGAAGGAGACGACGCGGTCGACGGCGGCTTGGGAGCCTCGGCGGAGGTCCATGGGGTTGCACCCTGCTGCGACGTTTTTGACGCCTTCAGAGTAGATGGCGCGGGCGAGGACGGTGGCGGTTGTTGTGCCGTCTCCGGCGACTTCGTTGGTTTTGGAGGCGACGTCTTGCACGAGGCTTCGAGGGAGGGTTGGGTTAGTGGGAGAAGGAGGAGGGGAGGAAGGGAAGAGGCGTACCGAGCACCGAGGTTCTCGAATTTGTCCTTGAGCTGAATAGACTTGGCGACGGTGACACCATCTATATGATACGTCAGTATCTCTGCTTTATGTGCTGGAAGAGAAACACTGACCCTTGGTAATCTTGGGACCACCAAACGACTGCTCAATAATCACATTACGACCTGGAACCGCGTCAGTTGTGTGTTACACGTCACTAGAGCAAAAGCCACAACTCACCCTTGGGTCCAAGCGTCACCGAAACAGCATTAGCAAGGACGTCGACACCCTTGAGGATAGACGCCCGGCCCTCGTTTGAGAAGCGAATGTCCTTGTGGGCATTACGAGTCTGCTGTTTCTGCAGTTGACGAGCAGCTGCACGGCGGACTGCGCGTGAAGACGTCGATGAGAGATGGTGCATGATTAAAAGTCGTATTAGGAGTAAGTCTAGGAGGAAGAAGAGGACGTGGAAGGAGGAAGAGGATGAAGTAGCGGTAAAGACGCGGAAGAGAAGTTGTGACGTTGCTGTCGGACCTTTAAATTTTCGACCCGTATGCGAAATTTCTGGAAGACCACGTGAGCGTGCCGAAAGATCCGTTTCATTCGGAACTTTGCTTCCTCCTCTGCGTCAAGGCCACTAGGAGCGTAGAACTCTCTATCCACAGCATCTTACTCTGGAATGGCTCAACCTAGCGATCTTCCTCCCGTTCACGATCCTCCAACTCTTAGACCAACTTCCCTCCCTCCCAATCCCTATGACAGCACTATCCCTCGAGAAACCCACTGGCATGAAGCATACCAAGAATGCTTCAACCTCGAGAAGGCTTCGAAAGCCGAGCTGGAGATCATGCACAGCCGCTTCCTCGGATACCTCATTATCTATGCTCCCATAGACAAAGGCCGGGACTATGTTTCAGAAGAGATTACGCGCTGTCTCGGGGAACGCAAGGACTCGTTATACGACCTGGCAAAAGACTGGGTTACGCATCTCTTCCAAGTCCGTGAGTAAATTTCATCTCTAGCAGGCTCGAGTTCCTCATTGAGTTTTTGTATGAGCGTTCAGTCCGGCAAGAACGCTCCAAAACACCTCCTCTACCCGAGTGGGATCCAGATTCTCGCATATCTGGCTCTGGCGAGACCTACCAAACCGCCCCTGTTACTTCCACACCCACCGACCACGCAAGTGCGAAAGCAGCCGTACGTATCCTTTCTCCATTCTCATTTGGCATTGATATTCACCTATCCTCGCGCGCAATAGGCTCTCCAACGAGACGGCTTCAAATGCCTCTACTCAGGGAGCTACGACATCCAATACATCATCTCGCTTTCAGAGCGCAGAGAACCCATTCCACATATTCATGTCCCGGCTTCATGCACCAGGTCAACACATATCTTTCCTTCGTGTGTCGCCAATGCTCGACACGATTCGGACCCAGTACGTCCATATCTCTCTCTCTTTCTCCGCATGCACCAGGGCTGAGAGAGGCATTGATCGATATGCATTAGACGACGTGGATAAGCAGAGTCTCAACTCAACTAAAGCGCTATGCCAATATCGACATTGTGAACGAGCTAAACGGGACAAACATCCACCGACTAGAAAACGTCCTGACCCTCGGCCTATCACAGCACGTATTCTTCAGCACCTTCACAATATGGTTCGAAAAGGACCCGGTTCGTGCTCTTCCCTCTTCCTTTTTTCTTTCTCTTCCCCTCTTCCTATCCCCGTAGACTGACAATTCCTTTTAGGATCTAGCAGGTGATAACCACTACATCATCCAAGCATGGTTGCCCAACTTTATGATAAACCTCCCGCGTCGCGTCACATTCATCAATTCCCATCCCTCTTCCAACCTCGCACTTCCAGACCCACGATACCTAGCCTTCCATGCATCCATATGCCGCACCGCACGTCTCTCAGGCGTTGGTGATCATCTTGAGACCTACGATCGAGAACATGAAGAGAAGAGAGTTCTGGCGAGCGACGGATCGTCCGCAGCGTATTTGGAGATGCGGTTGAACAGTATGACTTTATCATCGAAGTGCGGGGAAGAGAATGAATGAAACAAGTACTTAGAGGTGCAGTGCGTAGCGATGTCTTTTTGGTTGGAGGATGGACAACGCCGGCTATCAACGAACCATCTGCAGCCCCAAGTCAACCTCCTTGCTTCGGCGACCATCTCTTCGATGCCCAGCATGGCAGAAGTGGGCTCCGACGTGATAGGTCGTACGTTGCCTGAGCAATTTCGCGTAGAATGTGATTAGCGGCAGAGGATAAAGGCGGGGTGAATTGCAATTGCAAAGGGATTGTCGGATGAGGGTTCTGATGACGGACTCGATCAAAGGCGACAGAGGGCTGTGTCGCCCGAGTTGGAGGAGTTTAAGCAAGAAAATGGACTGGAAAATGTAGCAACGAGAAAGGCAGGCAAAGGCCTCCTCGTCTTCAGTACTACTAGACGGCGAAGTAAAATAATAAACTCAGAGCATAGATCATTTCTCTTTCCCGCACAGTAAAAACAGGAGGCTCGGGCAGCAACACAATTCTTTGAGCTCTGAAGTCAACAAACAAGTGAACTCGGGAAAAAGTTGTGAGAAATTTCTCGAATTCGGATACGGGGAATCGAACCCCGAGCTGCCGCGCACTTTATGGATCTCGCCATAGTTGTCAATGAGAGGCGGCAATGTTAGCCGTTACACCATATCCGAGGTACCATGGCTTCGCATTTGAGCTGTCACTATTACTGTTTGCTCGTTCCTTGCCTTCACCTGATGTTCACCAAGGCTCAACGAGAAGATCAAAGGAGGACACAATATCTACTTCTAGTTCATCCGCCTTTCCTCCACCAGAACCCCCATCATGCGTCTGGGGCGAAATGCTTCATGGATCGTTCAATACTCGTAGCCAGTGCCAAGTGGAGAGAACTTCACATCGGAATTCCCGTTCTGTAGTCCGCCCTGCTCTCAGGCCTCAGGCACATTGATGTTGGTCCATTCAGGGTGCGATACGAGTATCAGAGAATCTATATCAAAAAAAAAAAGATGACTATGAATGGAAGCAGCAGTCGGAGGAATCGAACCTCCCACCCTCGCTTTAAATCGATGACATAAACTTGAGTCAACGACTTGCGAGGTGTGCCAATGGACTACTAGTTCTTTTACGCCGATTCACTACGACGATAAGAGACCGATGGAGAATGCCTGAATGGATCCAATAAAAAGCCTTGATGATATGCATGTCAATGGACGTTTTTGAATCGCGTACTGTGAAGGCTCAGGTGAATTTTGAAAACGCTAAACGCATGACCAAAGTAAAACAAAAAGAATCACCGATGATATATCAATGATGGCCGTGAAGGAACAAAAATATAACTCTAGGCGGTGATGAACAGCCAGAGGAATCGAACCTCTTTGTTACTTACGTCATATGGACGTAAATGAAAGACTTGAGGGGTGGTCTACCGGTAGACTAACTGCTTTTATTCCTGAAGACTCAAAACTCCCTTGGATGCTGCTTAGCTGCGATTCGTGGAGGCTAAGAACTTGCGGACCAAAAATATAAGAAGCTATAAAACATCTCGTTATGTTCATATTCTGAATGCCGGTTGACTGGAAGACCATATAGCTTTGGTCAATCCTCAGCAAACCAGTCGCCTTCGTTACAGCACCTACGCCTGAAAGTTTGACTGATAGTGAAAGGTTGACTCGTACGCAGCTCAACTTCAGGAGTTGTGTACCCAAAACAATCTCAACAACCAGAGTAGCGGGTGGGCAAGTGGTCTATCTTATCCTTTGCTTTGGCACAGACAACGACAGGAGGTAGAGCGGAGGTTTGACTCCTTCCCAGCGAATTCACATAGTTTCGGAGGCACAATTTTTCTTTGCTTCGCTTTTATGGGCCCAATCACTTGAGCTCTTTTGCACAATCTGCTCGTCATAGCACAAGGTGCGTCAATAGCCCGTGGCCAATTGGTATACTCTGGCATTTACCTGTTACATAGGTTCGATCCCTTCACTGGCGTGTTCACGAGGCTCACCCCCATCTTTTTATATCCCTGCCATTGTGGAGAGAGGTATAGGCAGGGTTTAATCACTCACGCAGCTGGTGCGTCGCCGTTTCAAACGTGACTCCACACAGGAGGAAGGTATGGCGAAAGGTCTGCTGCACATGGCAGTCTCTTGAGAGAACACAGAGAAAAAATACGCAAGACTCTTGGCATGAATTAGAACTCAATGGTCGGGGGAATTGAAGCACCTACCCTGCTCCAACCATGTTGACGTTCATCGAAGATTCGTCGAGGGTTGTACCAGCGGACCAGACGTTCTTGCTGTGTGAGACGCTGAGCAAGCGCATAGGTGGCCAACGCTCGCGACCACCTTCTGCCGATAGGCATCAAGCGAGAGCGTAGTACCATTGATTTTTAGAGTGCGCCGAAATCACATTTTTGGGTGTCTCTTGCTCGTAGAAGGAAGGAGTCTGTGTGTAGAAATGCATATTTGAATGAGATCGGAATACTCTTGAGGGCATCAAACCCTCCCGCACCTCGCTTCTAGTATCTATAACGAGGGTAGATCAGTAGATTGTGCGCTTTTGGTCAATTGACCTCAAGAAGCACTTTGTATCATTATTGGTTCAAGAATCGCTGTAATAAATTCTTCCACAAGCCAACGAACCCGGTCCACGAGTCAAGGAGCTCGTCTACTTTGCAAATCCCTCCTTTCCTTCTGATCCATGTACAACGATAACCTCGCTCTGCCCGAGCAGGTGTGAGGATCTGATAGCTGATTGGTAAGCTGCACCTTTGCTTATTGCGAACGAGGCCAGAGCGGAGGTTCAATTCCTCCAAGCAAAGATGGCGATGTTTTCCGAAGGAACATTTTCTTGTGCACGAGCCCTGTGTCATGATCCTATGGCCAATTGGTATACTCTACAGCAAACGTTTGCCCGTTACCAAAGATCGGAGGCGGTTAGAGCGAAGGTTCGATTCCTTCATGGACGTGTGACGTGTGTACGGGTCTCATCACAATTTTTGGTACGCCATTTGGTCAACGACGAGGCGAACACAAATATCGAGTGCCCCCAATCACCTGCGATGGTACCGATTTCTTTGGCTTCTCGGTAGAGGAGGATATAAAAAAAAAAGTATTGAAATGCGACTACAATTTTATGTGCTTAGAGAGGGTTCGAACCTTTTCTCACAGCATCCCTCGTCCGGACTAGATGAGGGAGCCGTTGCGGTGAGTGAGGCAGTCTTCCAATAAACTATGCTGTCTTTAGAAAAATGGTATGCAGGTCTCGCATAATGTAAGCCGAGTGTAAATGGATTCAGTTTATGTAGTATTTCATACACCTGCGTGGTATTCCTTCCTTGACAAAGGACAATTTAAAAGATCCGGCGGCATCTAAAAGCAGCGTAGACCTACGCGACTTGGACAGCCTCAAACGATCCGGAGGGCTAAATGAAGGAATCGGAAAAGAAAAAAGCATCGGACAATTGACATGACTGAAAGCTGACGGAATCGAACCGCCTGCCCTCGCTCTGACAGATTCTAGGGGAGGACGTTACCAGTCGGCTGTGTGTTCGTCCAAATGTGAGGTTCATCTGGATCATCGAAGGAGAATGGCCGCCTCGCAATGCTTTGGTTGTGAGTTCTGAAAACCCGAGAGTGTACCTGTACCTGCGATGCGAGCTCTGGGCTCTCACTAGCACTCTCCGCTCTGGTTTCCATCCAAACTTCTGGACCACGAGCAAAGTCATGGCAGGTTAGAGTTAGGATCACCATCTATGACGGCGCTTTCTTGCTAGTAGCTACCAGAGACAAACGCTGGATCGCTTGTTCTTGATCCTTACCTTTGACTGTCCCTTCGTTTCAGGGGAAAAAGACATAGTGAGGAGCTTATTTCGGATACGGGGAATCGAACCCCGAGCTGCCGCGCACTTTATTGTCCACGCATATGAGAGGCGGCAATGTTAGCCGTTACACCATATCCGAGGTGAGAGGTTAAGGAGGATTCCAGAGCATTGTTTGCTGACACCCAACGTGTCCCAGGAACACCCAAGTTCGCAGTCATAGCGTAGGAGTCTTGTCGATTCCGTCCAATCCGGAATTTAATCAACTTCACGTATCCAGTGTATCATTTAACCATGTCCTGTGGGTGCTAATGGCGAAGTTAGCAGGCACCTGGCACCGCACACTCGATCCTGGCATCATGACATCTGCACTTCGGGCGGGGGGACAACGATGCTTCCCATCTTCTTACCTCTCTCAGCTAATTTCCGAGGTCCTTTCATTACCTTTTTTAATGAAGGACACCCCGAAGCTAGGATGGGCGCTGGGCTTACCGCGGCAACGCAGAAATGCGCGGCAGTCGGGCGGCGGCGGACGGGCGGGAAGCGGCGAGATGGAATCCGAGAAAGGCGGACAGCTGAATCTGATAATTAGATCTCGTCCAACAACTTTTGCTTTTCTCCAGCTCTCCTTCGTCGTCGTTCCACCACCTGTTGGTGTATACCTCTAGGTAAGTTTCTCCATTTTTCTTGGTTTGCTGTCCAAGCGTCGTCGACGTGACAAGCAGCGACGATGAACACGGACAGGCAGGATTGGATGGCCAGATGGTGACGAAGGCTGAATGAACGCGATGGATGGGTACCAGCTGGCAGGAAGGAGATAAGCGTCGCGTAGCCATCTCTCATCTGACTCTTCATTCTCGTCCTAGATGTCTACCTCCCCTGTCGACTTGTTATAACTAACCTTCCTCTCAGATCCCCCACCCCATCCTTCAAGGTTCTCCTCCACATACTCGACGATGTCCTCCTCAGACAAAGCAGCCCGCCGCGCCCGCTTCGAAGCCTCCTGGACCGAAATCCGGGACGAAATCCTCTCCTATTTCGCCTCTGAACACATGCCAGCCGAAGCCATCGAATGGTACAAGGCCAACCTCGACTACAACGTCCCAGGCGGTAAACTCAACCGCGGCATGTCCGTCTGCGACACCGTCGAGATCCTCAAGGGTCGTGCTCTCACCGACGAAGAGTACAAGCCCGCGGCTGTCTTGGGATGGTGCATCGAGCTCCTCCAAGCGTTTTTCTTGGTGTCGGATGATATGATGGATGGGTCCATCACTAGACGTGGTCAACCGTGTTGGTACAAGGTTCCCAATGTGGGGATGTTGGCGATCAACGACTCGTTCATGCTCGAAGCGCCCATCTACTTTCTTATTAGGAAGTACTTCCGCTTTCCCTCGTCGTCCAACGCTTCCACCAACGCCTTATACAAATCGGTGTACGCGGACCTCATGGATCTCTTCCACGAAACCACCTACCAGACCGAGATGGGTCAACTGGTCGATTTGATCACCGCGCCTGAAGATCATGTGGATCTGGAAAAGTTTAGTTTGGAGAGGCATCGCTTGATTGTGATTTACAAGACGGCGTATTATTCGTTTTATCTGCCTGTCGCGTGTGCGATGTTGATTTGTGGGATTCCGTTCCCTGACAAGGAGCCCAAGTTTGACTTTTTGAAGGGTGGATTTGGAGGAGGTGAGTTTTTCGTTACTTTACCTTGATTCGTGTTGGATGCTGACGCGAGGTTGGTAGAATCTGCGCCGGCGGATGCGGATCCGTACACAATCGCACTCTCCATCCTCATCCCTCTCGGCGAGTACTTCCAAGTCCAAGACGACTTCCTCGACTACTCTGCTCCTCCCGAGGTGCTCGGCAAGTACGTATCTCCCTCCTCCCCCTCTCCCTCAACACATCCTAACGCCCCTTGTAGGATCGGCACAGACATCATGGACAACAAATGTTCCTGGGTAATCAACACCGCCCTCGCACTCACCTCTCCCTCCTCCTCCGCCTCCTCACCCAAATTCAACACTCCCTTTGCCGCCAAATCCTCTACCACCATCTCTCCCCAACGTAAATCCGAACTACGCGCCATCCTCGATAAACATTATGGAAAAAAGACGGCGGAGGACGAGGCGAAAATCAAGGAGGTGTATAGAGAGTTGGACGTGCCGAGTCATTACAAGACGTATGAGGAGGGTGTGGTGGGTGAGATTAAGAGAAGGATTGGGGAGAGTGGAGATAAGGGAGGGTTGAGGAGGGCGGTGTTTGATAGCTTTTTGGATAAGATTTATGGGAGGTCCAAGTAGGCGGTGGAGAGTGAGAAGAGCTTGGAGGGGTGCACGATGGAAGAGGGAGAAGAAGAAAAATCGTAGATCGTCTTTTCGATTGTCTGACTTGAACGTGAATTCATGTATTGTACCTGATTGTTGTATGCATACTCATTAGATTGATTTTGTTGTTCCTTTTGTTTCGTCGCTGGTTTTCTCTCGCGCTCATCCTCCGTTGCGGTCCTAGGCGCCCTTCTTGTCATCGTAGAAAAGGGGTGGTATGTCTTTACGGTTCGAGGGAGACAACATGTAGAAATAGATGATTGAGTGACTGGAATGAATACAGCTAAAGGCACGATGGATATACCACATACCCGACGACAGCGTAGTCAAGTGGAAGGCTCGTCTCAGGCCCCTCAACGGATAAACAGGACAAGATGTGAATAGGTTGTGAGAGAAGAGGTTCGAATCCTTTCTACGCTTTCACTTTGCCCCTTATGGACTCCAGTTTTTCTGGTGCTCTGAGGTGCAGGGTGTTCCGCAGAAGTTGAAGTTCGACGATCGAAAAGGCTCTGAGATGATCGGTAAAGCTTGCGTGGCCCTTACATAAAAAGGAAGGGAGCTTTGACGAAGGTTGCGAAAATGGCTACCCGTGATGCTTTGCTGGTATGAGCCAGGTTGTACAAGCCGCGTAGTCTAACGGAAGACTGGTTAACGGTCGCATCTAGATCGGTGGTGTGAGGTGTGTGAGATGACAGGCAGGTTCGAGCCCTACATGCGCTTCATTCCATTGATGGCACAACGATTTATTTTGAGACCAAGAAGGGTTGGATTCTCATCCCCGTTATTTGACAGTCAATAGCCAGTAGATGAAGTCCCCTTCAAAGCCCTGCCTCAAGGTTCAACGTTCAACCCGCATTCCACGATTCGAAGAGGTAGAGTAGCTGGAGATGCATAGTCTATCGGTCTACCACCTGGCACCCTTTGTGCTCGCAAACGGAAGGTTCGGTAGGGGTTCGATTCCTCCAAGGCTCATTTGCTTCAATCACAATGTACCTATTTTTTGGAGGCACGGAAAGTAAAATGGTTTAGCTTGATTTTTATGATGTCTCCTGGTTATCATCTGCAAAAAAGTATCTTGTTTTAGATTCGGGAGGACTTCAAGTTGTACATCAGCCCCTAGCTCTTGACCTTCCCCTGCCAATGATTCTGGTGAGGAGATGATACAAATCTCGCCTTTCTCCACCTGTATGATCTTTTACTGAGACAGAACCTGACGTATTGTATAGCAACTGCAGACACAATAGCAAAAGAGGATTCAGAGCCATTCCCTGTGCTTCGCCTTGGAGGGGAGGGAATCAGACTCAGCACTTTATTGGTGACACATGTCCACTCGGATATGGTGTAACGGCTAACATTGCCGCCTCTCATTAGTAGCATCTTAACAATGTAAATTAAGTGCGCGGCAGCTCGGGGTTCGATTCCCCGTATCCGAAGTCTGGTTCCGCAATCCAATATTTTTACATTCGATTCGAAGGATAGACAGATGCATTGAAATTTTTGGCGTATAAAGCCCCTGGTCCATCATCGTCGACCCCACCGGCCTGGCTTGACTTTTTCTTTCCCCCAATTCATATCACCTTTGTCACAGAGTCTTCATCCATCACATCTTCCAACTGTACGGCCTGTCCTCTTTTCATTGTTGGCGCTCGACACTGCAGAGCACCTGAGAGAAGGTCGAACAGGTGCTGGAAATTTCCTGATATTCAAAGGCCCCCAAATGTATCGGCTGGATTGGAAACCAAAGTCAAATAATTCGAGCGAATCAAGTGTAAGGGGCCGAGCGTTGAAGAAAGGTTAGCGGAAGGGAAGAAAGAAATTAAAGCCTGGAGGCTGATTATGATTTAATTCATACACATGCAGCTGGGTGGGCTTGTAAGCTTCTGATGAGACAGCTGTTTAATGGAGGCCACCTTGACATCCCCGTTTTCTTTAACATGTGTGGTGGAACCTTGAACGATTACGCGAGAGGCCCATGTCACCTCGCTGTTTCATCTCCTTTTCTCATAGCTAGCACTGTTATTTTGAAAGTGATACCCCTTATTTCCGGAAAAGAGGGAAATACGAAAACCAAGCGGCTCGTGAGGGAATGCCCTCTGTCTTGAAGCGCTTCCCGGACCACAAACGAGCGGCGTCAGCGTAGCGCAGTGAGAGGAAGATCCCAACGCCGCTAATATGAAGCTTAAATGAGTTGGATAATTGGGAAAGACGTGGTTCGAATCGTTGTCTTCGCATTCTATTATCTGTCAAGTTTTGTTGCACAATTGCTTGCCTTTACCTTTATCAGGTTTCACCAGGTACGGTCCTTCATGTTAGCCAACTGGCTTCCATATCGAGCTCAATACGCTGCTTTATAGATAGCGGTAGCTGTGTAAATAAGACTCATCAGTCCAGTGGTCACCGCATTGCTTCCCCGTGCCTGTTTGTATGTAAACAGAAAGTGGTCAAGATCATCAGCAGACACATGTTCTTTAACTTCTTAGGGATGCTGGCTTTCGACCCCGATGTTCATTGGCATCTGACAATAAAGGTTCTGCGCTTGTACCACATACACACTTGGTATGCGACGATATCGCCAGAGATTCAGTAGGTGATTGAAGCATCAAACAGGATAGATCAAATATTTGGGCTTCAGTGGTGCAGGTTGGGCATAAGGCGGCGCAGTGGACATCAGCAACCGATCCTCTTCTCAAAGTCGTCATCACGAAGTTGATCGTTCCCGCCTTCGAATAGCCACCAGTCATTTTTTCTGGAATCGCGCTCCTTTGGTGTGAGCAACAATGGCTCCCCCGGCGTCCGACCTCGCAGCCCTGCTTCGTTGGCAGGTTCAGTCTGACTTCGCAAAGACACTGGTCGACGCCTCTCTTGCCTGTAAGCCCATATCCGCGATTCAGGCATTGTTTGCTGGTTGCAGAAAACGTCTGATGGAGGATTGTCAGCTGCACAGATACTCATGTCGACGTTCATGGCCATGCGATTTTGTGGGTCAACCCCTTCATCGACTTGGAGCACCAGCCAAGGGAGTTGCATGGCTGTGCCACGGAATATTCCTGTCTCCAGACCAGGAACAGACCATGTAATGTTCCCGGACGGTAGTCTCATAGTGATCGTCTTCCCTACCTCCTTGTCAGCTGCCTCCTCACATGCTTGTCATGCTCATCGGCCGTCATTGGAGGGGTTTCGACATTTCGAACTCTCCTTGGAACACCATCGACTTTTGAGCGGGAATCAGAGAGTGTGTTACAAGGAATAGAGGTCTGCAAGTCAGTTCAGGGCGGCCTTGGCATGAAAGGCGAGCTTTTATGGAACATCGTTACCTGGATTTCCGAAGGAGTTCTTGTAGGCACCTTCTCTTGGCCGATTGTTGTTTAATCACCCTGAAGCATAGTCAATCAAGGTTTATCGGTGCTACCTTGTATGGTATGACCACAGATGGGTATCTGCAGTACCCATCCTCACATATGTTGCGAATTTGGGTTCGTCTTTCCGGTTTTTGGTTTCTCCTTCGAGTCAATATCCAATTTGATCAAACCTCTAGGCATCGCTATATTCAGTCTGATACCCTTCATCCGGTACCCTGTCCAACATCCCAGCCTTAACATCGCCAACATCTTTCTCACGGTGTTCATCAATATCATTGTGACCGCCGCTACGCCTCATACTTTCCCGAAGGCGTTTCGCTAAAGTCTTTCCGAAGCAAACTTCGGACCGAGATCACTATTACGGGGCAACGGCTATACTCGTCGAGTCAGCCGCACCACTTGCGGTGGCTGGAATAGCCTTCGCCATCAGCGAACTTGTTGGGTCAAGTGACGAGAACCCATCTGTTGCACGAACAGTGTGTTGGATTACATTCACCACCTGCGTGGTGCGTTGAGGGACCCTTCTAAAATCAGCGCTGGTCACTAGTCACTGACATCTTGAATCTACAGACGTTGGCACCCCAACTCATTATATTCAGAGTGTCTACAGGAGCTTCTTGGACTAGCAAAAATCCGAGCGAAGGTTCGCTTTCGTGAGAAATTGTATTCGCAGACGCAATGACGGGCAACCGTTCCTTTTCGGAGAGAGGCTCAGCCTGATTGTTACTTAACGAAGCGCAGAGGTATCAGAGGACTTGGATGCAGAGCAACGTGTATTACAGTTCCTAAACCTCACGCAATCACGGAACATGGGTGATAGTCATGATAAATTAGCGCAACTGTATCATGCCTTTGAGCTTCGCCGCCCATACAGCATAGAGCTGCCGGGATACTTGGATTCTTCCTTTGGTTGGGTCTTCGATGGTAGGAAGGGTGATGCATAATGGTATAGGAATCCATTGCGATATGTGTGCTGAAATTTTCACTACAGGGCTGGTGCGACTGAGACTCTCTATGCATCTTCACCATCTCATTTGTAAATTTCTCGGAGACCTACGGCTCTTCATGTTAGGAAACGCAATTTCGCATTGTTCGCCGGAGGAACCGTGGATACCATTCCCACATTATTGTATTATTATTCTAACAATTAGGAAGTAGCCACAGTATTTAAGGAGTAAATAGTTCACTGTATTCCTTAGTTCTTTCCTCCGGAATGATATGTCATTGAGCCTACGAGTACGCCCTGCGCGGTATCTCAACACTTCACGGGCCATCCTGATATCACTCTTCACTAGCTTCAATGGCCATCTTCAAGGAGACTAACACACGACTCTTATCCAAGATATCTACGTAGAATTTGAATCCATAATGCACTTTCTAACCTTTCACGTAGGCAAGAGAAGGAGTGCAGCTTTGTACATGGCTCGACGCTACCCAACGAATGACGTATTAACTGGGCTATGCTGCGAGATAGCCAACGCTTTGAGATGCATGTCCAACCACTCCGCTGTGGATCCATCGGTGGCCTTGACTGGTGTGCCTGAGTCGTAAATGCTGTCATTTCCGTCATGACGTTTCATGAAATCTGCTGCGCCAGACATGTGAGCAATTCGACAAACGGCGCCATGAGCATTGAGGAACCTCGCATTAGGGAGTTCATTGTCTGTGTTAGGATTGGCATTGGTTAAAGCTAAGCGACGGCTCCAGTTTGGGCTGAGTACGGCCGCCAAATAGGCATGCACCACAAAGTGGCGGTCATCCCCGTAGTGCTGCGTGACGGTCAGAGACGGTGAACCCTCCGCGATTAACGAAAAGGACAAACAGGATCCAAGTCAAACCAGAGCGAGCGCCTCTTGAAAAATTCGTGCAAGTCAACACTCAGGGTGATAATATTGCCTAGGCGATGAATCTTATCGCCGTCGAGCTCGTCGCGTTCGACTCCGAAATGCTTTAGTTGCGACCAAACGGCGGTGCTCCAAGCAGCCTGTAATCATCCAGAAGGATATCAGCAGGACTTTTTCGAAGGTCGACGAAACGAACCTTGGAACCTCCGTCCAGCTGAGGAATCTCATTGAGATAAGGCGGGATGATGTATGTGGCTTCGGTGGGGAATGCCGGTCCTTCAGGGATGGGGAGTCCATTCTCTAAGCAATGTCCAATGTAATCGCAATCGTGACAGCCTGTGAGGAGACATCTCAGCCCGTCTCGCCTCAAAGCCTAAGTCGGTGAGAACGGGAGCTCTGAAGAAAGGCAGTGTTACGCACTGCGTGCTTCGCAGCTTGCACGATTTGGAGGGTGACAGAGTCATCATCTGATTGACCCGAAGAGTCGTTGGAAGGAGAACTTGTTGCTGACCTCTCTGAGCCGCTTTGGCAGACTAAATATAGGATGAGTAAAAGCCCAACGCTCGAAAGGTACGACTAACTCACAGGCCTGAAGAAGATGTCGGTGGTAATTTTGAGCAAGCAAGTACAGCATGGGTGAATTTGCTTGACATTCGAGAATCTCGCGGGCAAACTGAGTGCGACCAGTGTCGAGAGGCACATAGAGCAGGAGGTAGCCCAAGGTACGGGCGTAAATCAGATCTAAGACCCCTACAGCATTAGCCTCCAAGGTGAGACATGTGTCGTAGGCCTTGAACCAGGGACCCTCTTCACTGTTGTTACTGTTAGGGTTCCACTTGTTCGTGGGAAGGGGTGTGCCCCTCATATAGAGAGGTACCGGAGAGAGAGCAGGTAGCTGAGGCGATTCAGGAGCAGTGGCCATGGCTTCTGGGAAGTGACAAGAGGAATTCGACGCTCTCCGCTTGGAGAGTCAAACCACGAACTGGGGTTAGGGCCAGGGAACCAAGACGAATTTGAAACCGACGTTCGTCATGATCCTTTACTCACTAGCCCGATTGCTATGTCCTCTCACCAGGGACCAAGAAGAGGGTGTTCAAGAAATAGGTTGGAACAAAGACAAAGTCTGATGAGGCGGGTGAGATCAACAGTTTTGTGGTAAGGAACGCTGTAACGAGATTGACTGGAATGGAACAAAGTGAACCACCCCCGAGTTTATTACATAGACCAAAA